GGCCTGCTGTGTTCATCCAGCTCTACACCTTGTTATCTCAGTGAATTATTTGTATTTGTTTCAATGCAGTTTACTGTATTTGCTGCTCATGATATGATCTCCTCTAAAGTGGAAAGACAAGTAAAGATTGGGTGACCACTTTGCAGAGTCTCCATTCGATCTACAGTTGTGTCCTTGAGCTTACGGTTGCCTATTAGTTTATTTTCTTGAATCACTCTCTCTCCTGGCCTCCTGAGTATTTCACTGAAGCTCCACTTAAGCTTGAGAAACAGCAGCTCATCTTTTGATTAGGCATATTTAAGCCTTCCAAACTCAATTGAGTTGTTTCCAATCATGATCTCAGTTCCCATTTCCTGCATAAAACTGTAGAAGATGATTCTGCTACTTCCATTTACACTTGCACCTCATCTCGGTTCATCTTTTCCTTCTTTGCTTTGCCCCCTTATCAGTGCATTTGCTTTGCACCACCATCCCTTTAGTTCATTAATCTCTCCTACCTTACACACCATTACAAGCCTTTTGTTCTTTTTTTTCCTTGTCTCTGTACTTGCTTAACACCTGTTATGACATTTTTCCCAGTTCTGATGAAAGATAAAGGAGGAATCGAGCAAAATCTTTAATTCCTAATTTTATAGGCACAATCTCTCACCTTGTCATGGATGTGCGTTTGTTAGAAAATACCAAGAAAGTGAAGAATGAGTCTTTCAGAATTATTCATTTTATTGTCAAATTTGTGAAAATGACCTGAACGTGGTTTTTAGTGTTTCTTTGCAGTTGGTTAAATATAGAAGAAAATCGGGTGAGATTCTAATTTGTTTGAAAATAATTTTTTTTTATCTTTTAGGATGGTAAGGGTTATGGCATTGGGGAGCTGGTTTGGGGGAAGATCAAGGGATTCTCATGGTGGCCGGCTATAGTGGTTTCCTGGCGCACACCTGGAAGAAGGCAAGCTGCAACAGGAATGAGGTGGCTTCAGTGGTTTGGAGATGGCAAGTTCTCAGAGGTAAGTTCAAAATATGAGACAAAGGTGGAGCAAAGTTTCAGAACAAGTTTACTCGTATACATTATTTTTTGAAAGATCATATCATAAAATTTCAGGTTTGATGAAATTCCCATACAAATGCTTAAATTGTGTTAAGTCCCTGTGCACACTATTTTTATGTAGATGTGGGTGTCCTATAGAAAAAGAGGATAGTAAATGCAAGAATATAATGTGTCCATATGTGAATTTTGCCAATTGGATCATCTATGTAAATCTGCTCAATTTTATTCAGATGTTTCGGCTTTCTCATCCTCTACCTTGCAGCTGCTCAATGTGCTGTAAATTATTTTGACTGTGAAAAATTATTCTACTCAAGCTATTTCCTATGTCATTTAAGTCATGCATTCAGTGTATTTACGAAAGATTCATCTCCCGTTGAACAAAGCAGAATCTGAAAATTATTAATTTCCAATTCAGAGTGCTAAATATATTTAACATATCAACTGCTACTGTTTCTAATAAAAGTTCCTCATCAGTTTCACACATAATCATATCAATGAACTCGATAAGTGAAAACTAGACTACTCAGGTAAATGGTGAGAATTATTTTGGCAGTTTTAACTTTGTAAGGAAATATATATTTTTCTGTGCAGATAAAAATCTTGCATCCAGCATACATCTTTGATGCCCCTGTTGTCACATATCCAATTGTCAAAAATATAATAAAATGGACTTAGCAATTCCTGCTGTCTTTCCTTCTGATCTTGCAGATTGCCTAATTACCTTCTAATTGATCTTGAGATATGTTTAGTTTCCAGTTGACTTCGTACTGGGCCACTTTGCTGCAATTATACCTTGAGGTCTTAAGGGGGTATTGTGCAAAGCTCCACTTTAGAAATAGTTATGCATATCATGCTCCTGTCCTTACAAATTGGTATGTTTTATTTATTCATGGGATGTGGATGTCAATTGCAAAGCCAGAATTTATTGTTCATCCCTAGTTGCTCATAAGAAAATAGTTGTGAGCAGCCGTTTTAACCACTGTGTGTGAAGATATTGCATATAACGTTGCCTTATAAGGAGTTTGTGGATCTTAACCCAATGAAAATGAAGAAGCTGTGATATATCTCCAAGTCACAGTCACGCGTTTTCTGATGGGGAACTTGGAGTTATTGATCTTTTCATGCACCTGCTGACCTTCAGGAGATGCTGGTAGAAGTCATAGATTGTGAGGTGATGTTGAAGAAACCTTGGTGAGTTGCTCTAGTTTATAATGTAAATGGTACACACTGCAATCACTGTGTACCAATGGTGGAGACAATGAAAGTTTAAAATTTTGGATGAGGTGTTTTGTCTTGTGCTGAGCTTTCTTGAGTGTGTTGGAGTGGCATTCATTCACTGGATTGGACAGTCTTCCTTAATTCCTAACAAATGGAGAGCATTCTATTATATTTCACCACATTCTTGGCTTGTGCCTCATAGAAGCTTGAGGCAGGAGGTCAGACTGTGGCAGCAGTGCAACTTCAACTTGTTGTAACCGATACAGTGGGAGATAAATTATTAAACTAATCCTTTATTTAGGTTTATTTAAAGGCCACCATTGCTGTTTATTCAATCAAATAATGATGGTCACTGGAATTTCCTTAAGTGACTCTGGACATGAAATTCTGATTGTGGTCTGTGCAGAAACCCAGCAGAAACCGTTCAAGAGTGGCTGAAAAATGTGGGAAACGGCTCTTGATACAATGGGTTATTGGCCCTATTTCCTTTCAGTACTTCTAACCCTCCTAAAAACATACAACATGTAATTGCAATCAATGGCTTTTGTTGTTTGAGCCCAATGGGGGCTGTTTCAGATAAAAATGGCACCTGAAACCCATACATACAGTTTTGGAGTGAATTGTACCAGATGCCATGTTGTTAAGGTTGTTTGTACACAAAGCGATCAATTGTTGTTAGCATGCAGAGCAGGTAGACAATGGGATGGATATTACATACCACTGTGTTTTAAGTGGCCATCATGTAATATGGGGAGGGGGGCTATCTGACTACCTTCACACCCACATCCGAGCTCATCCCCATAATTCTGAGGGTGGGTAGGTTACAAAATTGGCAGCCCTCCCACTCTGAAAATAAATAATTAAGGCTCAATTGAGTTTGTTAAAACCTCAGTTGATCCTAAGTGCACAAAGCGACAGGAAATAAGGGAATGCTGTGTTTCGTGCCTCTTGCCTATCTGGGCACCCATGAAGAAGATGACAACCTCTTTCCCAACCACATATTCTTTTTGAAACCCACTTCTCAACTGGCTAAAGCCTCCCTCCTGGCATTAATGGACTTTGAGCCCTGTGCAAATCCTTTTTCCCAATTTCGTTCCAGATTCTTCTGTGCTTCTTGACATCAAAAAAATCTGTCATACAGTTGACAGTCAATGCACCAGGTTGTGCATACCTATGGTATTTGTTTGTAGGTTGCCACATTAAAGATTTATCCAATTCTCTGTAAATGAATCCATAAATGACCTCACCCTTTGGTGAGTTGGAAGCTGAAAATCCATTTTGTCCGCCAATCCCTCCAGCCCCCACCCCAGCCATCCTGTCTATTTCTCCACTATCCTGTAAGTTATGCAAGTACAAGTATCTGAAATTGACTGATGATGCCTCAGTATCAACACTGGCTTTTTGTTGTTCCATCAAGTGTCTGAATGTGGGAAAATGCAAGTGTAAAGTTGTTGTTCAGGGCTGGGGACAAGGAACAGACGCATGCTAACACCAGCTTGTAAATCGGAAGAGTATATAAGAGTATTTAAGGTGCATTAAACATGGGAAAAAGCATCACCTTTGATGATTTCAGCTTCTCCACTGGCCCAAGTCTCAGTAATAGGTATTTAAATAATGGCAAGCATCTGATCCTCCATGGAAGTCAGGCCATGTGAATGAGTCTATTATTAGCTCCTGCTGCCTCTGGTTGTGCTCTGCCTTGTCCTGCAAAAGAGAAGAAAATGTGTCAGTGTGTCAGTTTAAACTCTTTGGCTGCTATGGCTGCCATGTTGATGAAATGTACAAGTTGGTGTAGAGCTTGCAGCAATGAGATCATTGAACCTCTTGCAGCATTGCATCCAGGTCCATGGTGTTTGATGCTTAGATTGATCCCCATGGTTATCTGCTGCCATACTGGCTTCTAATTATGTGTCTGAAGGACCTCCTGGCCCTCTGTATATTGCAGGACATCGCTGCTCCTCTCCATTTACTCCATCAAAGCTACAGCACAACATTTGAAAGGTTTGAAATCCACACTGTATCACGTTGTGTCATTGTTCAATGTTTCCAAAGTCAGATTCACTTCTTGCATGACTGCTTCATCTGTTTCAGCCACAATGTACCTCCTAACCTTTTGAAGCGGGTGGTCGCAGTGATGTGTTGATGTAATGACAGTGTACCTGGACTAGCAGTTCAGAACCCTCGGTCAATATCCTGGGGACATGAGCTCAAATCAGACTGAGGCGGATGGTGAAATTTGAATTGAATTAAAATCTGGAATAGGTCATCTAATGGTGACTATGTAATCACTGTCAATTGTTGTAAAAACCCAGTTGGTTCACTAATGACCTTTTCAGAAAGGAAATCTACTGTCTTTGCCTGGTCTGGCCAGTTTGTGATCGCAGACCCACAGCAATGTGATTGCCCAGATGATTGTTAAGTGTCAATTAGGAATGGGCAATAAATGCTGGCCCAGCCAGTGACATATACATCCCATGAATGAATAATAAAAATGCTAGATTTAAACATTGCATGCCAGTTTGCAGTACCAAAAAAAGAAAGAAACAAATCTTTCTGCCGAATATATAGCTGATTCTTGCTACCTACAAAATTTTCCTATACTCTGATATCGTCTTTCAGTAGCACAGATAGAACTGGATGGATGTGAAATCATTTAAAAGAGTAGGCAGTGCAAAACTGGTGTGCTCCTCATGCTTCAGACAACGGAATTGGATTAATCATGCATTGTAATCCATGTGCTCATTTTCAAGGGCCGTTGAATTCAGCACATAGAGTCATAGATTAGGAGAGGATTGAAGGAGACCTTCAGCAGATTGAATCTGCACAGGATCTTTTGATGAGTAATCCAGTTAGTCCCACTTGCGTACTTTTTGCCTATATCCCTGCAATTTCTTTTTCCTTCAAATACTTATCCAATTCTCTTTTGAAGGCTGCTATTGAACTTGTGCGCACCACCCTATCAGGCAGCACATTCTAAACCCTAATCACTTGTTGTTGAAAAAAAGTTCTCATCTGCCTCTTGTTCTTTTGCCAAGCATCTGGAATCTATGCCTCTGATTATTGACTTCATGGCCTATGGAAATGTTTTTTCTTTACTTACTCTAGTTAAACCTTCCATAATTTTAAATACTTGTTTCAAATTCTCTACATTCCAATATTCCAACTGGCAGTTTGGGTCATGTATTGCCGAGACATCTTTATAGGCACATTACATCAACCCTGACCATGCCACGAACCCAGTCTCTAATAACCCTGGCTCTTCAATTTGATATGAGTTCATCATCTTTCCAAGTTTGCAGTCACAGATCCTACTCGTCTGCCTCACTGGAATCATTTTGATGATATTTGGCGAAGCTCTGGTATGATGAAAGAGCCTTGTCTTGTAAGGTACTACTCCAAAAATGATTACTATCTTGTGTTTGGCCAATGGGGTCAGAATGTAGGACTGCCTTATAAAGCTGCAATGGTTGGCAGGTGTAAGCCTTTTTTGAATGGTCTATATTATTAACATTTTCATATTTTCTTGTTTTCAAGGTTTCTGCTGACAAACTTGTGCCTTTAACTGCTATTGGTCAATATTTTCATACTTCTGCGTTTAACAAGCTGGTCTCTTACAAAAGGGCTGTGTTCCAGGCTCTGGAGGTAATTGCACATGTTAAAGCTAGGACTACAATTTTGTATTTGAAATCTTTGGGACTAATTCTGAAATCTTTTCTTTCCCTAGATAGTCGGGTTGTTTATTTGATCCTAAAATGTGGTGCAGAAGCTTCAGATTGTAACTGATCAGGAAATCACTGACCCCTGCACCCTCATTTCCTGTATTCTTCAGTTGGAAATTCAGAAACTGTGAGAGCAGTTTCTTTCTTTTGTTGATGTGCAAGTGGGAATGAGCTCTTGTACCCACTGAATAAAAGAGATATAAGGGCCAATTCAGAAGCTTTGTGTCCCTATTTTCTAATACCTAATAAGATTTTTTACAGAAACTGAAACTGAAACAAAAACAGAAATTGCTGGAAAAATGCAGCAGGTCTAGCAGCATCTGTGGAGAAAAAGCAGAATTAACATTTCGGGTGCAGTGACCATTCTTCAGAACTTTGGTTTTTTGTTCAGCTTTTTTTAACAGTATAGTTATACTTAAAAAGAATTATTAAAATAGCTGTAGAATTTTCAGTTCCTCTTGTTTAGGAAGAACCTTTGCCTCTGTAGGCCTCCCTGATAGTCTTGTGTAATTCAGAAACTTGTCTTGTGCAAATGCACTTCAAAACATGTAAGTCTAAATGTCAGTTTTGTTCAAGAATAACTGCTGTTTGGATTCAGCCGACTCCTATGCTTTCAGTCCTCAATTCTGTGCAGAAGAGACAAATTTCATCGTGGTGCACTAACTCATCAGGGTCCCCTTCCTGCATGAGATTATTTGAGGGGGTCAGTTTAGCGCAGTTGGCTGGACAGCTGGTTTGAAATGTAGGGTGACACCAACAGTGTGGGTTTAGTTCCTGCACTGGCTGAGGTGACCATGAATGACTCTCCTTCCCGACCGCTTCCCTTCGCTTGAGGCATGGTGATCCTTGGGTTAACCTCCACCTCTCATCTTTCTGCAATGAGCAAGAAGCCCTATGGTCTTTTAAGACTATGACAACTTTACCTTTTAAATCATTTGAATGCCCAAGAAACCTTTTAAAGTTGCAAAATTTAGATATAACGAAGAGACGAGCTTTGCTGTAGAGTCTTTTACAATTCCAAGTTGTTCAGCTGCTGAGTAATTATTTTGAACAGCATAATATAGAAATAGTTTAGGTTGGATGGGCTTCAGATTGGTTTCACAGGTCGGCGCAACATCGAGGGCCGAAGGGCCTGTACTGCGCTGTAATGTTCTATGTTCTATGTTCTATGTACAGTGATCAATTTGAGCACTGCAAGATCTCACAAGAACCAACTAAATAATATCCAAATAACTGATTCGGATTTTGATTTTACATAATGTAATTAAAATAATAAAACATTCCAGTATACATCTTGGAGGAATTATGGAGTACAATTTCATACCTAGCCAGTTAAGGCCATAGTAGGCCATATAGACCAAATAGATAACACCACGTGGAGCTGGAGGAACACAGCAGGCCAGGCAGCATCAGAGGAATAGGAAAGTTGATGTTTCAGGTTGGGACCTGATTTCGCCAGTTTTAAAATCCAATCCCGACCCGAAACATCAACTTTCTTACTCCTCTGATGCTGCCTGGCCTGTTCTTCTAGCTCCACACTGTGTTAACTCTGATTCCAGCATTGGCAGTTCTTGCTATCTCCATATAGACCAAATGTTTGGTTAAAGAAGTATTTTTATGCACAGCTTAAACAAGGGAAAAATAAGGAGTTGGCGAGTAGTAGAGCTCAGGGTCTAGGTGGCTGAAGACATGGCTGCCACTAAAAGAATGCTTAAACCCAGGAATCTGAATAGGCCAGGAGGAGTGTAAAGTTTAACAGGAAGGCTATAGGAGATTACTGAACTAGAGACACACAAGGCGAGGAAACAATTTAAAAACAAGGCTGAGAATTTTAAAATCAAGATTTTTTTTCTTGACCAATAGTCACTGTTGATTAGTGCGCACAAAGGAGACTGATAAGTGAGATTTACTGCAGTTTAGGGTAAAGGCAGCAGAGATTGGAATGGCCTCAAGTTTTAGAAGGTGGAACATGAGATACCATGGAGAGAATAATTAGGAGTAGAGGTGAACAATGGTTTAGATGAAGGTTTCAGTACTGAGGTAAGGTGGAGTTCAGGAAATGTTATGGAGGGGAAAATGAGCTATCTTAGTGACAGTACAGATGTGTAGTGAAGTTCATATTGGGACTAGTTGGAACTTCACTGTTAGGAATAGTCTGTAGTTAACCTCAAATGGTTGGCAGGAAGAGGAATGAGACTGGTGTTGAGAGAAAGGAGTTTGTGATGGACCCTAGAACAATGGCTCTGTCTTGCTACTTTTTTTTGGATGATCAGAAATTTCCTCCGATAATGAAATGACAGCCAAGCAGTCAAACAATGCAGGGATCAAGAGAGAGAGAACAGAGGTAGCGGTGGTACCGTTAGTATACATATGGAAACTGATTCCGTGGGCAGGACATTAGGGCCTGCCTGATTCAGGCACAGAGATGCATGGGACTCAAAAGCATTGGCAGTGCCTGCTGTGCCAATTTACCAACCCTGTTTCTGGCCGTTTTTACTGTGTGACTTTGGTGCCAGCAAGGCATTTTGTGAACCTTTGATAATAGCAGTTTTAGAGGGATAATTGGAAATTTCCAGTCAGCCTCCAGTTTCCAGTGGAAACCTGATTGTTTAAATCCATCCAATGTGTTTTAAGAAAAATGGGCCTGGATTTGGGAGGCAACAACGTTTCCAGCTTGAATAAGAAAGAGAATTTGGTTATTAATTTACAAGGTCAAGATTGATTTTATAAGAACAACAGCGGTGATAATTAGATTTGAAGGAGAGAAGGACAGCATTTGAAGAGCAAGGGCCAATAATAATGTCAATTAACACAGGAACCCAAGAAAAATAGGAATTAGTAGGATTACCTTTAGAGAACAAGATATGGATCTCATTGACAAGCTGAGCTTGAAGGGTGCTTTAGAGAGGATTTGAGCAAAAGAGCATACAACAGTACAGCTCAAGAACAGGCCCTTTGGCCCACCTTGTCTGCACCAACCATGATGTCGTTCTAAACTAATTCTATCTGCCTGAATATTGTCCATACCCCTGTACTCCCTGCCTGTTCATGTGTCTGTCTAAATGCCTTTTAAAACCTTGCTAATGTATCTGCATCTACCACCTCTTATCGCAGTGCATACCAGGCACCTACTAATTTCTGTGTTAAAAAAAAACTTCCCTCTCACACCCTTTAAACATTTTCCCTCACACCTTATACCTATGTCCCCTAGTATTTGACATTCCCATCCTCGGAAAAAGACTCCGACAATCTCCTCTATCAATGTCTCTCATAATTTTATATGCTTCTATCAGGTTGCCCCTCAGTTTTGGACACTCTAGAAAAAATAATCCATGTTTGCACAACTCCTCGTGACAGCTAATGCACTCCACTCCAGGCAACATCTTGGTAAACTTCTTCTGTGCCCTCTCCAAAGCACCAACATTCTTCCTAAACTGTGGTAACCAGAACTGCACACAGTACTCCAGATGTAGCCTAACTAAAGTTTATACAGCTGCAGCATGACTCGCCAACTTTTATACTCAATGCCCCAACTGATAAAGGCAAGCATCCAGTGTTTACCACCTTATTCACTTGTGTTGCCACTTTCAGGGAGTTACGGGCGTGCACCTCAAGATCGCCCTGTAAGTCAATGCTCCTAAAGGCCCTGCCATTTACTTTATACTGACCTCTTGCATTTGACGTCCCAAAATGCATCACCACACGTTTGCCCAGATTAAAGAATCTTCTCCGATAATTTCCCTACCATTGATGTAAGGCTCACCAGCCTATAATTTCCAAGTTATCCTTGTTGCCATTCTAAACTACAGGAAAAACATTGGCTATTCTGCAGTCTTCTGGAATCTTGCCTGTGGTTAAAGAGGATACAAAGATCTCTGTCAAGGTCCAGCAATCTCTTCCCTTGCCTCCCTCAGTATCCTGGGATAGATCCCATTAAGCCCCGGGGACTTACCTACCTTAATGTTTTTCAAGACACCAACACCACTATCTCCTTAATATCAACATGCCTTAGAATACCCCTTCCTAATCTTACCATCATCCATGTCCTCCTTTGATGAACATTGCTGCAAAGTACTCAGTAAGGACCTCACTCATTTCTTCCTGCACCATTCTTAAATTCCTTCCTCTGTCCTTGAGTGGACCTATCCTTTTCCCAGCTACCCTCTTGCTCCTAATATATGTATGAAATGCCTTGAGTTCTCCTTAATCCTACTTGCCAAAGACATTTCATGGTCCCTTCTCGCCCTCCTAATTCCTTGTTTAAGTTCTTTCCCGCTTCCTTTATATTCAAGGGCTTGTTTGATATTAGTTTTCTAAACTTTACTTGTACCTCCTTTTACTTTTTGACTAACCTTGCAATATCTCTTGTCGTCCTAGGTACCCAAATCTTACCGTTCTTCTCTTTTATTCTCACAGGAACATTCCAGCCCTGAACTCTGATCAACTGGCCTTTAAAAGAGTTCCACGTGTCAGATGTGGATTTAACCCTCAAACAGCCATCCCAATCTAATTCCTTTAGTTCTTGCTCAATACGGTTGTAATTAGCCTCCACCAAATTTAGCACTTTCACTTGAGGACCAGTCTTATCCATAACTATCTTAAAACTTATGGAATTATGATGACTGTTCCCAAATTCTCCCCTCCTGAAACTTTGGTCAAATGGCCAGGCTCATCCCCAATACAAGGTCTAGTACGGTCCCTTCCCTAATTGGACTATCTACATGTTGTTTTCAGAAACCTACCTGGAATCGTCTCAAAAATTCACTAAGGGAGTCACTATCAATATTGGGAAGGTTAAAATCATCCACCACATCTTTCCGTGACCTCTTTACAGATCTTTTCTCTGTTACCCACTGGCTATTGGGATGTAATTCAGAGTTATGGGAAGTTAAGTCTGTTGGGATATGGTAGGTGAGGTGAGTAGTATAAGCAACTGATTAGATGGTCTTCATTTTTGCAACTCGGACGTCTATGAGCTTGTCATTTATAAGAGGTATTAATTCATCTCCAAAGTGTTAAAATCCTCTGATGAAATAACACACAAAAGAACTGCAGGTGAACATTTGTACACGGTAGTCGTCTACTCTGTGATTCCAGAGCTACTGCATTCATAGTATCCCTTAAATTGTTTATAGGAAAGTACTACAAAACAGTTTCTGACTTGTGGGCAAATATGCTATTGTGTTTCTTTCAGAGAAATGAGGTGTCAACATCATGGTTATGAATTCATGGAAAAGTGTTTATTTTTATTTTTGCAGTTTTAAATTCCTGGTCATATCGAGAAACGTACCTCAAGATTGATGTAACCAGTACATATCTCTAAACACACAACAGACAAATCTCAGTTTATGCCCTGTGAAATATAGACTCTGTTCTTAGATGTTTACTGATATGTTTTCTGTATAGCTAATACTACATACAAAACTTCTGCTAGTGTAGGATGTCTTTAAATCAACTGAAAGTCTGACTGCAGAAAAAAAGTTACAGCAAGAGACATTTGCATTCTTTTAAAATTCCACATGTGGTTTTGATTTTTCTTTTGGAGAACTGTAGTTAGAACTTACTGGAAATTTAACAATGCAGAGTTTCCACATAAGTCAGTTTCCCATTCTAAATACAGGAATTTGTGCTAATTTTGCAGTTTGTATTGGGTGGTAAAAAGCAAGCTTGGAAGGAGTGTGCCTTAAAGATTTTTGTTAATTCAAATTATTGACTGAATCAAAATTATTTTTCTGCAAAACATGCGAAGAATAGGTTGAAAGATTGTCTTCCCTATTGTTCTGAAATTGTTTAAAAGTTGATGAAAGAAAATTTTGCTGGTGATTATTGCTCAATCTTGCAATTATACCTTACAAGTAAGCAGGGAAGTGTAGAATCTCTGAAAGCTGAGAAAAGTTGGTCAGTTTGCTCTCTAGGCTTCTTAAGTAATTGCTCAGAAAATTATAGAGAACAAAGGAAAAGAAAAGAACTTCTGTTTAGTCTTTACACCTCATGGTAGCCCTTTTCACCAGATGGCCACAGTGTGAGTTAACTGGCAACCAGTAGATTTGTTAATGGTCTTGGTTTTGCAACAAATAGCAAGCTGAGGCTGCACTTATAACAGAACTGTATTGTTATGTCACAGGTAAAAGATGGCTAGGACTGTGGAGTAGAGATGCTTCACTTGCATGAAGACCAGATCCTGACTAATACTACCACAAGATGGTAGCAGTAAGCAATGATGAAAAAATGCAACCAACAAGTTGGAGGACTGATAGACATCCTTTTAAACTAACTAAATTAGCATTGAAACGTCCCCCATGATGTTGCTGAAGAAATTAGGGATACAAGGACTGTATCTATGTCTGATTCTTATCACATTCCAAGTCATTTGTGTTTTGTTACGGTGTATCCCATTTCTTTGACATCGTTAATAAATCCGAACCATGATCCGAACCGTAGTTTACTGCTCCTTCACAGTACTCTAAAGGTAAATGACATATTCTGCACTTAATACAAAACATCAACTCTTACAGATTGCTAGTAGCAGATCTGGAATGCCATTCCCCTCCAACGACCGGGGCACTTTGGAGGAACAAATTAAGCCAATGCTTGACTGGGCATTTGGTGGTTTTCAACCAAAGGGTTACGAAGGAATTAAGCCCAAACAAAACACAGGTAATTAACAAGGGGATTTTGCTGGCTCATTATGACTTCAGCCACATTGTAACCTACCTTGAATGTAAAATGAGATGAATTTTCAGATCTTAGGCTTTTTTTTCCAGTGATGGAAAAGAGAGAATATCTATGAAATTGCTCTTTATTGTGTTTACCTCTGAACTAAATTTTTAAAAACTACAGCAAATTTGTACGGCACTGTTGAAACAAGAAGAAAATGTAAATTTTAAGGAGTGGCCATAACCAGAAATACAATTATGAAACCTGAAGTGAATGTTTAGTACAAGTCTGTGAACAGCGAAAGCCATTTCAATGTTCTTAGGTTTAAAATTTCACTTAGTGAAGCCAGTGTATCTATTTGAATCCCTTTTAGCAATAATGGGCTACATAAGCAAAATAGCCATTCTCTTCATAAGTGTGCCATGACCATGCTACTAGCAATACCAGATTGTTGATGACAATGCCCCTCGCCAGATAGCAGCTAAAATACTTTCTTTTTAAGGCAGAAGCTCTTGTAGCACAGTGATAGTGTCCCTTACCTCTAGACTAGGAGGCCTAGGTTCAAGACTCACCTGCTCCAACGTTGTGTAATGACATCCTTGGACAGGTTGATTTACGTGATCCATTAAACTGTATTTTGTCAGGATGGTGGTGGTCTAGAAAGTGTGGGGCCACCATGCCTCAGCTCAGGCTGCTCATTGATAGTATCCCAGTTGGAGGGTTGAGCACATGTCAGTCCCAATAGAGACTTTGAGAGTTGTGGCCACTGCTGGGACTGTATCTGACTGGGGTAAGTAACATGGACAATGCGTCAGAAGCAGATGATTGAGCTTGTGGTCGCCAGGACCTGTCTGAGCAGCTCCAGTGACCTGACAGGATGTGGGGACAAGGTGGAGGTTTGATTGGTAATTGCAGTGGTAACTGTTTTCACAGGCTTGGCCATCACTGTTGAGTGGGTGTGGGGTGTTCACACCGAGCCATAGAGAGCCTTATGAGAAGCTCCCTCTCCTCTCTTTTGAGCTGAAATTGGGAGTTGTCATTGGGTGATGATTTCTGTCGTCAGTTATTTGATCAGCCAAGTGAACTCTTGTGAATGCTAACTGTCAAAATATATTCCTACACACCACAAATGCTAATCACTAATAGCTGCTGGTTCATGGTGTGAATTAGGATTCAGATGATGACCATAAATAATGAATCCCTCTGTTAGGTTTTTGATATGCAATTTCTTTGAGTTACACATTGTTTCTTGTATAACTTCAATGTGACTCTATACAATTTTTGAGTGCGGTGTCATACATTTCACATCACTTCTTCTATCTGTTGAACAGAAAATGACACTGCAGGTGAAAACCGCGTAGAGGTCTATGTCCCTGAGTATTATCCTCCTACAAAAAAACAGAAAACAAGCATTTACAAAAGCAAAGAAGGAACTGAAGAGGAACATCGGGGGAGAGGTAACTTATGATTTGTTTTAACAAAGGTGATATGCTCAGTGCATTATTGATGGGTCAAATAATTAATAGAACTTTTCATTTTTTGTGCAGAAAAGATTTTCTTTCAAGTTACATCAAACAATAAGAGCATAGAAGGTAAAGTTTTTCTAACTTTTATTTCCTTTATATGTGTCATTCTCCAGTTTGCTCAAATTTAGCATTATTAGTATAATGTTGACATGGCAATTTCACAATTAGTATTGTAAATGGGACATATGACCTTTATGTTTCATTGTGCAGTCAATGGTAGTGATAAACATAGCACAGACATATTCCTGTAGGGCGCAAATTTAGCAGTGCATCACACGGGAATAATTTAAATAACACCGTAGAAGTGTTGGTCTGGTACACTTTAGCTGTATTCCATCGGATCGTAACACTAAGTTTTTTTGTGTTTAAAGTCAGTAAAGTAGTTACTTAGTATCTGAATTGCTTCATTAAAATTTTGGGGAACAGAATGGGAGCAGATGTTGCTGTTGTGGCACAGAAATACAGTGTTTTCAAAGCATCAGATTCAGTCCTTTTACTGGGGCTACCCCACACGTAAGGCCAAATAATCTAAATTTTGCAGGTGCTCACCCAGAACTTGGCACATAATGATGTGAGGCTTTGGGTATGTTATCAGTTGCGACCAGCAGTTGAATGCAGTTTGCTACTGATTTATCTGTGCCTGTTTTCTGGACTAAAATAAATAGCTTGGGCCAAAGCTTCCTGATGCACAAAACAGATGTTGGATGGTATTCTGAAAGAAGTCATTTAATGAAGGATAGCCCTCTTTGGAGGGGTGAGCCATGGAACAACAAATATTGCAACTTTTCAGCAGGGCCTTATTGAAGTGACCATTCAGATGGATGATCAGGGTATAATGCATAGCTTAGCTATTATAGGAAAATTGAGGCTTACATTTCAGTTCCATAGAGCTTGGGAGTATAAGTGGGAGAAGAATTTTGGGTCTAGTGATCATAATTCTGTTAGTTTCAAAATGGTTATGGAAGAGGGTAAGCCTTCCGTAAAATTGGAGTAAAGCAAATTTTAATGGTATGAGACAAGAACTTCCAAAAGTTGATTCGAATAGACTGTTAGCAGGTAAAAGGACATCTGACGCATTCAAGAGTGTGATGACAAGAGTTTGAGAGTTCAGAGGCATTTTGTTCCTGTTAGAGTGAGGGGTAAATCTAGTAAGATTAATGAACAATTAATGAATAAACATACTGAGGCTCTAGTCAAGAATAAAAGAGATTTTGTCTATACTTTATATATAGACAACTTGGTTCAATTGAATCTCTTTATCAATATAAACAGTGTAGCAGCATTCTTAAGAGAGAAATCAAGAAGGCAAAGACAGGATATGAGATAGTATTGGCAGATAAGGTTAAGGATAATCCAAAGAGATTCTACAAATACATTAAGAGCAAGAGGGCAACTAGAGAGAGGGTTGGGCCTCTTAAAGATCAAGGAGGCTGTCTCTGTGTAGAACCCCAGGAGATGGGACAGATACTAAATGAATATTTTACGTCAGTTTTTACTGTGGAGAAAAAAGTGAGTCTAGAGAATGTAGAGAAATAAACTTTGATGTTTTAGAAACAGTTCGTATTACAGAAGAGGAAGTTTGGGAGGTCTTAGAGCATGTAAAGGTGGATACGTTTCCTGGATGTGATCAAATGTATCCCAGAATATTGTGGGAAGTAAGGAAGAAAATTAAGAGACCCCTTGCAGAAATATTTGCATCATCTATAACTACGGGTGAGGTGCTGATGACTGGAGGGTGGCTAATGTTGTACCTTTGTTTAAGAAAGATTGTAAGGAAAAACCGGGGATTTATAGACCTGATTCTGACTTCGGTTGTGAATAAATTGTTGGAGGTGATTATAAAAGACAAGATTAATGAGAGGCAAAAATTGGTTAGAGATAGTCAGCATGGTTTTGTGCGAGGAAAATGGTATCTTACAAACGGGATTGAGTTTTTTTGAGGAAGTTACCGAAAAGATTGATAATGGCAGAGCAGTAGATTTTGTTTAGTTGGATTTTAGTAAAGCCTTTGACAAGGTTCCGCATGGTAGACTATTAGTAAAGTTAGGTCACATGGGATTCAGGGTGAGCTTGCCAATTGGATATATAATTGGCTTAACGGCAGGAGACAGAGTAATTGTGGAGGGTTGCTTTTTGGACTGGAGGCCTATGACCTGTGATGTTCCACAGGGATTGGTTCTGGGTCCTCTTTTGTTTGTCGTTTATATAAATGATTTGAATGAGATTATAGAAGGCATGGTTAGTAAGTTTGCAGACAACACAAAAATTGGTGGCATTGTAGACCATGAAGAAGGTTTTCTAAGATTACAAAGGGATCTTGATCAAATGGGTCAATGGGCTGAAAAATGGCAAATGAATTTCATTCTGGATATGTGCGACATATTGCATTTTGGTACAACTGACAAGGGTAGGGCTTATACAATTAATGGTAGGCCCTTGGCTAGTGTTGTGGAACAGAGTGACCTGGGGTGCAGGTACAAAATTCTTTGAAGTTTTCATCACACATAGACAGCATGGTTAAAAAGCCATTTGGCACGCTTGCCTTCATTGCTCAGTCCTTTGATTGTAGGCGTTGAGAAGTCATGTTGATGTTGTACAGGACATTGGTGAGGCCTCTTCTGAAGTACTGTGCCCAGGCCTGGTCATCCAGGTATAGGAAGGATATAAACAAGCTGGAAAGGGTTCAGAAGAGATTTACCAAGATGTTGCTGGGTATGGAAGATTTGAGTTGTAAAGAAAGGCTGAAGACGGGTCCTGACCCGAAATGTCAACTTTCCTACTCCTCTGATGCTGCCTGATCTGCTGTGTTCATCCGTCTCCACACTGTGTTGTCACTGGATAGGCTGGGACTTTCTTCACTGGAGCGTAGGAGGTTGAGAGCTGACCTGATAGAAGTTTATAAAATAATGAGAGGTATAGACAGAGTTAATGGTAGTTGTCTTTTTCTTAGGATGGGGAATTTTTAGACTAGGGAGCACATTTTTAAGGTGAGAGGAGAGAGATTTTAAAAAAGACACTAGGCAAATTTTTTACACTGAGGGTGGTTCGCGTGTAGAATGAACTTCCTGAGGAAGTGGTGGATGTGGGTACAATTACAATGTTTAAAAGACATTTGGATAAATAAATAAATAGGAAAGGTTTGGAGGGAGTTGTGCCAGGAGCAGGCAGGTGGGACTAGTTTAGTTTGGAATTATGTTCTGCATGGACTGGTTGGACCTAAGGGTCTGTTTCCGTGCTGAGTGTATGACTGTTAGGCAGCATCTGTGAAGAGACAAACAGAGTTAATGGACAGAATCTAATGCCCCCTACTTTTGCTGTGACAGGAGGACCATTTGATTGGGCATGGTGTGCAGGTTGGGGACCACTCCAATGCAATCAAGTTTAGAATAAAGGGCAGCTTTCCCACCCAGAGCTTTCCCACCCAGAGGCCTCATCCCACCACCACTCATATTTAACAACCAGCAGGTGGGAAACTTAACTTAAAGGGAGACCACTCAACAAACCTTGCTGAGTACGCTGAAAGCCTTGTGGGACTGGAGTCCTCCTTTTCCTCGTCACTATGTGCACAATCAAGAGACACAGCAATGTAGGGAGGATTTACTGAAATCCAACTCCCTGACCTTGCTTCCAGACAACAACTCCTTCCCCCATTTCTTCCAAGGCCCCACTTCCTGTGAGTTACACTTCCCCTCTCACCTCTATCTGGTGATTGTAGCCGTGATGCTAGGGGCAGGCCTGAGTGTTGTGCCATCATGAACACCACTTTTTGTGGTGGCGCTGATACTGGAGGGCTCAGAGGGGGTGAGATTTTCAATGTATGGGCAGCTTAATTGCATGGGAGGCTCAACATTGGTGCCTGATTTCCTGGTAAATGTGTTGGGTCTCTTGGAAAGAAATGACTTGGGGTCCTTGCTGGTTTTCCAGGCAGTGAACAGGACCTATCCTCGCCAAGAAGGGCCAGATTCCTGGATTCTTCAGTTTCCAGGTCCATTATACCGCCACCACCCACATGCCACCCCAAGCTAACTCCTCAAATTGACTTAAATTTAAGTTTGATACCTTAACCCAATGATTGATTGATTTTTACTGTCATGTGTACCAAAATACAATGAAAAGCTTTGTTTACGAGCGGTATGGGCAGATCTCAGCAAGCAAAGGATGTACAGATCAAAAAGACTTAGAGGCATACAGGTGACATTGCAGGTTACATTATTTGAGGCTAAAACCCATTCAACACTCTGATAAGGGCCAGGAAGAAGCTATTCCTGAACTTGCTGGTGCACGTGTTCAGGCTTCTGTATCTTCTGCCTGACGGAAGAGATTGTAGGAGATCATTACCAAGGTGTGATGGGTCTTTGATGATGTTGGCTGCCTTTCCACAGCAGCGAGCCGTGTAAATAGAGTCCATGGATGGAAGGTTGTCTTCTGTGATGGTCTAAGCTGTGCACAACACCTTCTGTAGTCTCTCATGGTCCTGGGCAGAGCAAGTGCCACACCAGGCTGTTATGCACCTGGACAGTATGCTTTCAATATGCTGTTTAAATTGCTTGGCAAGCTCAGGGATGTGCAGTTTTTTAACTACCAGTTTTGCATGTAAGTTATAACATTCTGATGTAGCATACATTGTCTGCTTCCTTCTATACTTTATATTCTGAGGTGAGGTTTATCAGCAACTCCACCTTTTTGATAACTTCCTCCTGCACTTATTATTTTTTCAGGATTCACTGACTTAATTTTAATATATGAAGTTATCTTACAGATTCTTATCTGTTCTTTTCACCTGCTATGTGAACTCTATTGATGTCAGAGTTATACAGTCATAAAGAGCGGAAACAGACCTTTCGGTCCAACTTGTCCACACAGACCAAGTTTCCCAAACTAAACTAGTCCGCTTGCCTGTGTTTGGCCCGTGTCCCTCTAAACCTTTCCTATTCACGTACCTGTCCAAAATTCTTTTAAATGTTGTAACTGTACCTGCATTTACCACTTCCTCTGGCAGTTTATTCCACATATGAACCACACTCTGTGTGAAAACATTGCCTGTCAGATCCCTTTTAAATCTTTCT